ATAGGAGGAATATTTGAGCAGGAGTGTGGCACTGGCGCTTCCGTGTTAGTAAATTTGATTTAAAAAAAATTTTTTTTTCTTTGTTGTTTATAAGATTTGTAGAATTAATATTTGTGAGCTCTGTTATAATCTCTCTGGGTTTTGCAGATATATCTAAATTTGTATCATCAGTAGAGATAGTTTGATCAATTAGGTTGTCTTCACTGAAGTCTTTAGAAGTGCACTGTATTACGTTATTGCTATCAATTGATGATTCTTGAAGACTAACTTGATTAGATTCATATGTAACCGTAAAAAATTGTTCATCATTAATTAAATTATTTTGTTCACAGTTTATCACATTAAAATGATTGTCTAAGACAGTAACGGATTGTTATACGTCTTCAATAATTCAGTTTTTGTCACATGTGACCCTATTACTGCTCTGTACAACACCCACTGAACAATGACATCCTCTTCTTTTAAAGATAACACTGTCACCGGCTCAGTTCTAATTTTTGCCTTCTCAGGACTAGTACTTTTTCATTTAGCAAGGGTAACAATCGGTACTCCATAAACAGCAGCTGCTTTTCTCAAGGACAACTCTGTGTCTTCCATTGCTTTTAGAGCTTTTTTTATATTTCACGAATTATAATTACTTAATCCTTTTAATTTTTTTTTCCTTCATTTTATTATTCATATTGGAACACAACACTTTTTTTTTTTTTGGTTGAATTTGATGATTGAGTTTTTGTCACTTTGGAATTTTGTTTTTGCTTCATTATCTCAGCTTTTTTTTATAATTTACTTTTTACTTACTCTGAAATAATAAGAAATAAATAATATATTTTCAGAATCAATATACAAAAAAATATTATAAATTTATCCAAAAGATTTAATTAAAAAACAGAAAAACTTGTTGACAAAGTTATTCTATGTTATGATTTGAGGTTAGGCTCATGATCTAAAACTATTTGACTTAAAATACTTACTTTTAGAAAAATATTTGAGGTTTAATAGTAGCCAATATTTTATAACATATAATTACACTATTTTTATAATTAATATCACATATTAGCAATATAAAATCTTATAAATGTACACTGTCTCACTTAATCGGGAGAAGCCGAAAAACATATGTCCGTATTACACTATACACCGAGAAAAGTGTCTCATAAACCGGGGCATTCGCGTAAATAAGTGTAGGTATTGTGAGACATTCATATTTAAAATATTGTAATAAAAAAAACGCATAAATGTGTATAGAAATAAAGTTTATTACTCATCAGCTTTCAATTGATATACAATTTAATATAAAAGTAGAAAACACAATGAAATTACCCTAATATAAAAAACTAGGTAGTTATTGTCGTTTTACTATTCTCGGTCGTGGCTTTGAGCACAGATAACAAACCTCGCACTTTAATAAATATTTTTAAAAAACAGTATGGAATTAATTAACAACCAAAGTCGAAAATTGCTTTTGGAATAGATGAAATAATATATTTATTATACTTTTGGTATGCTAGCGGTGTGTTTTTTTTTATAAAATAGTATTTTTATGTAGTGTATCATAAATGGGGACATCGTCTCATAATAGGGACTTTTACCTTACTGTGTTTTATTAAACTTCTATCAACCTTTTGAGCTCGACAAAAGCTATTTCTTTGAGCTCGGAGAGCTCGAAATAACACACAAATTGTATTTTTGAGCTCGAAGAGCTCAGAAACGTCATAAGTGCAATCTCAAGCGTTTAGGTATGGAATTGGCGGGAAGTTGCAGGGATGGCCTTTAGGGTCAATGGTTTTCCAGATTTTATTTTTCTTGTAATGATAGTTTATTATGTCTATTATCATTATCAATACATGAATTAGTCAATAAACAACGTGAATTGTTATTAACTATTAATTCATGCAAACGCGACGAATGGTTCAATTGACCCCCGCTCGGGGGCAATTGAACCAACTGCTTGAAGTCAATTGAACCAATAATATTTAAAATTTAAATCCGATCTTTTAATAAATAATATATTTATTTTTAACATTACTATTGGACATTTTTAATGCACAGATCTTATATTATATCAATTAAAAATTTTCACACACTTAGTTATTAAAAAAAACAATCTCAGGTACAAATAATTATTTCTTTTTTTGTATTTTTTTTTTTGTTATTAGTTGACTTTAATGTTTTTGGTTTCTTTTTTTCTTTATTAATATCCGTATCTTCGTCCAATTGTAAAATTTTGGGTTTTTTTGCATTGGCTCTAACTTCTATTTCAAATTTCTCAGGTGTATCAGTATAAATTGCCGTCTTACTGCGTACACGACCCTTTCTGGCTTTTTGAGTTGATGGAGCTCGTGGTAAAGGCTTCACGGAGAGAAAAGAATAGTAATTATTACCATTCTACATGGTAACCAGGCTCATTTTCAGTAAAATGGTAAATGATGCTATGTAGAATAGGATACATTACCATTTTTCTGGTAATGATTACTATGCTACATTGAAACGAGTGAAATGGTAAATATCGCTAGTCTGCACGGGAATCAGAGCTATGTAGACTGGTAATGAGTCCCATGCTAGAATAGCTGTCCCTACAGTTTAATAAATATACATGCTATAGTATACGCGAAAGTTTGCGCAGTAACATGCGTGTATGTGTTTATGTATGTGCGAAAGTTGGCGTCATCTCCTTTGTTTATGATTTTATTATTTTGTGTAAAAAATTTATTAAATCTACAAACTAAATTAAGAAATTGATTTTAATAAAAAGTAAATAATGGTTGATCGAAGTGTAAGTATTTGAACATTTAAATAATAATTGGCCAAAATTTAATTCTAATAAATAAATTATTGATTGTTTATTACAAAGCATTTTAATTAATTTAATTATTATTAATTTTCAATCAGGAAATTATATTTCATTATAAGTGCTCATTTAATTATTTCAATGAATTAATTTAATTTATGTATGTGTATTTTAAATAACCTGATTTACGGATTCTATCATAACCTTATTCACTAAATGTTACATAAATAACATAGCAAATATTGCTAGGTAAAATTGTAATCTCGTCCATTTACATAGTCCGCTCGTCAATGTAGAATGGTAATCATTCCTATGCTAGCATAGCCAACGTTACTATTTAGAATGGGGGGGATTACTTTGCCACTTGACTCTCATCGCTAAAAAATCCTCGTTTCTATGTAACATAGGAATGATTACCATTCTACATTGGAATCAGATCTATTCTTTTCTCTCCGTGTTCATTTGTGAAGGAGTAATGATGTTTACTTGCTCATGATTAGTTTTATCACGCTATATATACCATCGCTGTTGTCAATTGGAGAATTCAAACGTAGAGTAGCAGTATGATGAAGATTGTCAACTGAACTACTGCATGAGGAAGCTAATTGATCAGGCTTGTCGTTTGATAGTGGCATATCAGTAACAGTGGCAGATGAAAATTCTTCATCAGAAAATATATTAGGATTAAATGGATAAATTCCAGTGCATTTAAAACCAGCTTTTATATTTTCTGCTATTACTGATGAAATAGCTTCTGCAGTTACGAAAGGGAGATTGTAGATAGTCATACGAACCCCAGGATGACTTTTACACCAACGATCGTATTCAGTATTAAAACGATGCTTAAATGGTCCAAAGACACTTCTATCAAGCGGTTGGAGTTTATGAGACGTGTGTGGTGGAAATGACAGCATAGTTATAAAATTTTCTCGGCAATAATTAATAGCTGAGATAGAAATATGAGAACTATGGTTATCAAGAACTAATAATACTCGATTTTTTTCCGATGGCTTGGCATGGTTAATAAAATGTTGTAAATATAGCAAAAAGTCCTCTTCTTGCATCCATCCAGATTGGTTCACTGAACCAACACTACCAATAGGATCGCCATTTAGGAAGTGGTCTTTAAAATTTTTCCGAGGAAACACAAAATACGGAGGTATTGAATTACCAATCGCATTTACAGCCAAACACATTGTGACTAATGTGCCTCGTTCATATGATGGACCCTACTTGCTTCACACCTTTTCCCGCAATAATAGCAACTGGTTTTTGCGATGTAGTCAGCGCACTCTCGTCTAAGTTCCATATATTTTCTGGCGAAAAATTAAAACGTTGATTCAAATTTTTTTAATTCTCAAAAAATTTGTTAACGTTGGGCTTGTTGAAGTTCATTGCTCTGGCAAGGCTTGTACCTTCGGGCACTCTAATTGATATCTCCGGATGTCTTTTGATATATCTCTACACACCAATCAACTCCAGCCTGTAGTATTATTCCAAGTTGAAGGATACTTGATATTATTAGCAACTGCAAATTTATTTACATCATACAATATATAATAGTTATCGTCATCAAGAATATCCACTGCTGGGAAATTAATGTCTCGGGACAAATCATCATTGGATGTATATATTAATAACATTACTTTGCTATCCACTTGAATTTCAGCAATTTTATGACCAGCATCAATCGGATTAAATTCAGCAATTGACATACAAGGCCAGAAAGTTGGATTTCCTGGCGTACGGGATATGATGGCCGAGGCTATCATATCACATACGTCAGGGCATCTAACATTCTGGTCGTGGGTTGTATACTATTTTTCTTGCTCTCTACTCCAGCCGAATGTACGCAACCCCGTAGGGATGGGCAATATTAAAAAAAAATATCGATATCGTAACATCGATTATTTGAATTTCATACTATCGGTCCATCGATATTCCAAATAAAATATCGATATATCGATTTTTGATATCGATTGTTAAAATAGGAGCGAAAATTCAAAAATCTTAACATTATTTACTAAGTGAAATTTTTTAATTAAATAAATAAAACATAATGTAAATAAAATACAGATTTTATTACCAATCAATATGAAAACTAACCAAAAAATTAACTCAAAATTATTAATTCCAGTCTTCAGCACTTAAACTACTTAAAAATAATAATTCATTAAGATGATTTGGAGACAATCGATTCCGATCGTCAGTTTTAATATTTCCAGTCGTCGAAAAAAGACAAAAGACGTTCACTCGGTACAGACGTTCCAACGACGCACAAATATTCAATTGCAACATTGTACAAATTCGGATAACTAGGTTGCAGTAAATTCCAATGTTTTAAAGGATCTTCAGTCCTTGAAATGACAGGTTGAGACAAATACTGCTTTAATTCAAAAGTTAAACCATCAGTGCTATTTTTTGCTGCACCCGTTTTTTTTACAAGATCGTCATGATAATTCCAAATATCATTTTTTAAATTATTGTTTTCAGTACGCAATTGCAATTGTAGTTGAATAGGATCAGGAGAAACAGCTGACTTCATTTTACGATTGATAGTATCAATGGCATGAGAAGCACTCATTGCCTTTTGAAAATGTATTTTCTTAAATCTTGGGTCCAGTATTGTAGAAATACATAAAATTTCAAAAGATTCAATGTCATTAAATCGTTTTTCAATTTGATAAATAATCGCCTCTTTAAATTCGGCTCCAATTGAAGTAGTAGGTACTCTTTGCCTGATTGTATTTTTCATACAAGCTACAATTGGTATTATGATACTACATGTTAGATAAGTATCACCACTTATTTCAGTTATCACTTTGGCGATAATTTGCATTACATCAACGATGTCTTTGAGGATTGCAATCTCTTCGTGAGATAACAATGGAAGAGGACTGGCACATTTTGATGTAACCGGATATACATAATCTTCTAGCTGAAGGTAGCATTGCAAACGTTGAACTCCAGCGAGTTTCGACGCTTTGAATAAATCGAAGTGCTGTACCTTCGGTTTTTCCGTCACGTTTTTGAAGCCTTAATAATTCATCACATGCAGGAACACTTCTTCTGGTAGTTGTGTTACGGCCTCGCGTAACACCTTAATGATCGATTAATTAGTTAACAAAAAAAACCTAATTAATGAAAGAACTGAGAACTACTGCATCGCTGTACCCCTAAGAACCGCCCACCCCAGGCCCCTCAGTTTCCTCTTCAGAGTAGGCTATAAGAGGAAGGCGTAACTATTATGTTAATAGTTAAAGGCGCCATAACTATTGTGGGAGGGCCCTAAAAACGTATATCGCGGGGAATCTATTGTCCTCCGTTGTTGCTACGCGGTCCCTGATGAAAATTAAAACCGGAATAAATAATCTCTTTCTTTTAAAATTATTTTTTCTGTCTTATATAAGACGAAAGAAAAATATAGATAACAATATTTACTCGTACGAGTTTTTGAAAAAAGCTTATAGTCTTACTTGCGATTACTCATCACCAAAAATTCCTGAGAGAAAAACATTATTTTCTGTTGTCCCAAAAAGCCGCCTGTAAACTTCGGCAAATAACTTGTTATCTAGGACCTCATCGCGTACGCACCCATGGGAAAAATCATCAGCGGTTAAACATCCCGAATATTACCTCATAAGGAAATATTCATCGCTTATGAATTTGCTATGTTGTCCAGTGGAGGACATTCTCTACGAGTCGGGATTCTCCCCCTTGGTCTTGAGTTGTTTTGTCCGGAGTTATTAAAGTCAGAGTTGTATTGTCTGTTGTTTTGACCTAGCACCGATAGGATACCTGAACGCTGGCTAACGCTCTAGGTAAAGGAACCAGGGTGGAACGCTGATTAAGGCTCTCAATCCTGGGTTAAGGTTTTTAATAATTATCCATTTTAATTGATCAACAATTAAATGGATTTATTAAGGGATTGGTAAGCTCAGCCTTGGACTAGTAGAGATTGCTCTTCTACTAAGTCCTCGAACTTAAAAATTTTTGAGAACGTAACAACTAGAATCTAAAAAACCACGTCGATCGCCATCAAGAACGTGAAAATCGGTTGATTGGTTTGTTAGCTATCGTTGTCGAAAAAATTCCGAAAAAGTGAATTTTTCAAATAGAATTTGAAAAACTGCGTGTAATACTGCTAACCGCGTGAAAATCGATTCGTTCATTCAGAAATTATCAACCAGCTATGTCTAATTTAAATCAACAGCTATGTCTAGTTTAAATCACTTGTTGAAATGTTAAATTATGTCTAATTGTTGGTAATCACTGCCACTGTATTCCTCTGATACTGTACAATCCTTGATCATGATTGCGATCCTGGGAGTTGCCAACGTGATATTGAGGATAGATCCCTGGTATCCTGGTCTTCTAAAGGTCGTAATGTTTCCGGTATTCAGCACTATGAGGTCAAGTCTTTCTGCAAAATCTGCTACTTCGTTGCAGTGTCAGAGAAATCAGCACCCCATTTAGCCGATTTCGCGTTGAAATTGCCAGCGACGATGTCTTCCTTGTTGAACTTCCCGATAACGTCCTCTATGTCTGCCATTTTTTGTCAGAACACCCTAATCTCTTTATTGGTTGAAAGTTAGACACTCATTAAGTAGGTCGTGGGGGTTTTAATCCAGACGAATCCTGATCCGCTTCCGCTGTTCTCGACGGTGATGTTTCTCGTGATCGCGATCCAGATTGCTGCCGTGCCAGATTTATCAGCGGTCCATGCTCTATCTTGAATGTTGAGATGCTGCTCGCAGATAAGGTAGATGTCAATTTTGTTTTCGAACATACGCTGGCGCAGTAGATTTTGCCCCAAAGCACACCTGCTTAGGTTGCCTTGTAATAAGCGTGTCATTTTTGCTTTCTCGTGACTCCGGCAAGTGCGGTGCGAAATGCCTTAAAAGCCCCGAAGCCAGCTATATGGTATAAGCCATCCTGAACGTCTTTGCCTTGCGTACAAAGGAAGCATTTTGGCTTCTCCGTGCAGTTTACTGACTTGTGGTTCTCTCCGCTACATTTATAGCAGCACATGCTTCTATCCGCTCCCGTACAGTTACGCGTGTGGTGTTCAAAACCAAGGCGTTCATAGCATCGGGTTACTTTCGCAACTGAGCATATGCGACAGTTTACCCATCCGATCTTTATACGGGCCTTGTCAATGATCTTGATCGCGCTACCTTCGTCTATCTCGCAGAAGGCTACCCAATTGCCTCGTGATAGAAGTTTTGTCAAATTCACCCAACATTGGTACGTGCACGGCTCTTCTAGCTTGCACTCCAGCCTCACGGAGACGATTACGAACTGTTTGTGCGCAAATGTTTCGCGGCCGCTGTCGTCGCAGTTGTTATTGTCGATGGTTTGGAAAGTCCCAAGCGATAACGTTCGCAGGAACAAAAGATTCTTGACGAACGTGTCGAACGATTGTCCTGTCTATCGCTGACTTGCTGATACCTGATTATTTATATATTTACAAAGTCTAATGTAAAAATTGTATAAAAATAAATACAAAATGAATATTTAATTGAAAAAAAAAAAAAAATAACCCTAAATAATGCGTTACAGTATCGTCGGAATCATTTGATAATAAAAACAAGGATTTCTTAGATTATATCTGGAATTTACAGATTCTAATATCTGGCTTTCGAATTCTTGTACTGCCAGCTTTGCATCATATTCTTCCTAGCACCTGTGGAACATCTACTAGTGAACATTATTTCTGCGGAATATCTACTGGTATCGTAGCCGTTGCATTGAACGCTGATGACTTCTGGTAATCCTGTTGGAGCTGGTGCTGGACTCTTTTGTCGGATGAGATGCTCTTATTTCATTTTAGCAAGGTGGTACTTGTCGAGACCTAATGCTGATCTGTAACAGAAAAATTTGTTAAAAAGAGTGTCAAAGTATTATCGTGCAAATAAGTATTGTTTGTAAAAAAATTTTTTATAATGTCAAAATAAATAATTATTTAAAATCTCGTGGTAATTTTAAAAAGCGTGAATAATTATGCAAACAGGTCGACGATTCAATAAGTTATGATATTTTTTCAAGGAAAATTTGGATATAGTTAGACCAAAATTAGATGTGAAGAAATCTTTATTATTTTTAACAAAATATAAATAATGCTGTGAAGCGGGAAAGAATAGGAGTTACGGATAATTATTACGTGAAGCGTTCCAACATTCACGTGACAGGATATTTTGGTAGGAAAGGATTGAGAAAGGATTGTGGAGAGGATCATCTTAATGTGAGTGTATAGAATATGCGAGAAAAAATTATTAGATAGCTCGGACTGGGATTCGAACCCAGAACCTTCCGAAGACATGTCGGCTACTCTGCCATTTGAGCTATCCGGTCTATACTAAATTTCCTTTCACTTATTCTATATACATTAAGCCACACCGTCTTTAGGACTGAGGCGTCTTTAAACTGGCTTGTAACTGGCTTAGTCGACGAAAATAAGTCAAAACCGTAATTAACTCTTCGTTGGTCGCGCTACGAGCGAATCACCGCCTAACTACTAAACCTATAGAGACTTGCAATAGTGCGAGCGAGAAACTAAAAAAGACGCGACCAACGAAGGGTTGAACGGTTGAGACAACTGATGACTAGCGATGTTGATAGGTGGGCTTTAGATATTGATGAACTGCGACTGGAGACGACTGGTGACTGTTAAATATATCTTATAAGCGCTGAAGATTTGATGATCCGTAGGAAGTCTTTGAAAAGATCGTTATTTACCGTAGATAGTCTTAAAAAAGACTGTTTAATATAAGAATAGTCTTAAGAAAAACTATTGAATATGAAAATAGTCTTACGAAAGACTGTTGAGTTTCTTACGTTAATCTGGAGAAAGGCTGTCAGAATTTGAAAGTTTTTTTAATGGAAGTCTTCAGAAAGATTTCCTCATAGTATTAGTAACTTTGAAGCAAAACTGGAGTTGGTTTGCCTTCTGACTTAACCAATGGTTGAAGGCAAACCAACTCCCACTCCTTCTTTTTGACTCGTACAGAACTTTCAGAGAAGTGGGGATGGTTTACCTTCAACCATTGGTTAATTTCTTAGATAGTTCTGGTATACAACTTCACATCGAATTTTGGTACAAATATACCAAAATTCTGCTTGGAAAGATTGAATATATATTTAAAAAAGCCAATGCTGTGATCTCCATTTTATATCCAATGATCTGTCGCAACAGCAAAGTCTCTGAAAATAACAAATTAATCATTTACAAAATATGTATTCGATCTGTGATATTGGACGTGTGCCTTATATGGAACAATATTTGTGATATTAATTATCAAAGACTTCAAATAATACAAAATAAATGTCTAAGAATGATGATCGATTCAAAACCTGGTATATCTAATAAAAAGCTACATGAATCAGCTCACATTCCTGAGTTTAAAAAAGTAGTGCATAAACATGCAACTAATTTTTATAGTAGTAAATTAAATAAGATTACCATACTATAAGAAGTATGTAGAACTAATAGTAACTCCTGTCTTAAATATAAAGTGTCAAACCAATTAATGATCGATGGTCATTCTCAAACCAAAGATAAAAAAAGAGTACATCACACAAACGACCTCGTTTATGTTAATTGAAGGTTGTATATAATTATGAACTATTGTAATTAGAATAGGTTATAAGGTAGGCTAAGTAACCATCAAAATTAACACCAATCTGATTAGGTTTTTAAATAAAAATTTTTTCCTAAATGCTGATCCAAAACTATATCACTAAAATTCACGTGATCTTGAATAATTAGTCATTTCGACTTTCTAAGAATTTTTTTACTTACAACAATTCTTATTTGCACGGTATTATTTGACATTCTTTTTGACAAATTTTTCTATTACACATTACCAATCAAGTAATCAAGATGGTAGACGTTTATTCATTGGGACTCGACAAATACCAGCTTGCTAAAATGAAGCCAGAGCATCTCGTGTAACGAAGCCGTCCAGCACTAGCTCCAACAAAACTACCAGAAGTCATCGGCGTTCAATGCAACAGCTACGACATCAGCAGATATTCCACAGAAATGATGTTCGTCAGTAGATGTTCCACAGGTGGTAGGAAGAATATGATGCAAAGTTGGCAGTACAAGAATTCGAAAGCAGAAATGCGAAAAAAGTAGCTTTAGAGGATGAAGGAAGAAGCTCGAAGATGTCGACACCAGGAAATCAACAGCAACGGGATCCAGGAAGAATACGATGCATCAAAGCTGGCAGTTCAAGAATTTGAAAGCCAGATATTAGAATCTGTAAATTCTAAATTTGATCAAAAAAATCCTTGTTTTTACTATCGAATGATTCCGCAGATTTTGTAACAAATTATGCAGGGTTAATTTTTTTTTTTTTTTTTTTTTTTTTCAATTAAATATTCCAAAAGTACAAATGAAAAAATAAACATTACTATGAATGAAAATTTATAAATTTACTAGTTAATAAAAAATATCATTTGAAAAAATGATTAATAATACAAGTGTATAAAAAATAAATGATACATCCATTTAATGAACTTGGTCAGTTTGGCGAGCTCTATCTAATAATTTTTTGGTGAGTAGCATAAAATAAAAAAAAAAAAAAAAATTTGCTATTTTCTATCAATTTGTAATATTCTCACAAATTTGATGTATATACATTAGAAATTAACTTTCTTTGTTGCCGTAAGATGGACAGCGGTGATTTAGGTCCAACTCACTTTCCCCCTCTCCGCGCCGTGTTAGTAGCCCTGGGACGGGGTAACAGTGGTGAGTAGCATAAAATAAAAAATTTGCTATTTTCTATCAATTTGTAATATTCTCACAAATTTGATGTATATACATTAGAAATTAAATTTTTTTTTTTTTTTTTTTTTTTTAGTTACGTTTGTGTTGGATTAGTTCTACTATCTACTTGAATGAATAGATACTACTCCAACTCCAACAAATGTGACTCCTTCTTAAGGATCAGAAAAATACCATATTTGCAACAAACATGTATGGAAAACACATTACATGTCTGTTACAGGTGGACTTTCTTATGAACTCCGCCGTCCATATAGAAAGAATATTCATCATCATCATCATCATCATCATCATCACATTTGTTTAAAAAATTTTTAGTAATGCCTCAGCGCATTACGATGTTTACTTTAAGAAGAATGCAACAATTATTTATTAATTTTTTATTTAGTGCCAGAGAATCTATCAATTTTACAGCTTGTTATTGAGCGAAAAAAGAAAAAATAATCTTATCAAAATGTTTAATACATTACTTACTTTAAATATTGGATCATTTGACTGTCTCAACGCAATAACAATGATTTAATTGATTTAGTCAATCTTATTGTAATTAAAATTATTTCTTAATTAATATTGAAAATATGAATATTTCCAGTAACTGCAATTAATAGTTAAGTTATGAAAGTTCAAGTATATTTTATATGCTTCATGTAAAAAATTAGTGGTTCTGCCTCAACGCATTAAGAAGTATACTTTAAGAAGATTCGATATACTAGATAAACCTCATTTTAACCTCATATTAAATTTATATTTCCTTTAGAAATATCTCATTTTTGTCTCAATCCGGAATATTACGTACTAAATGAGGTTTTTCCTGACATGAGTTTTAAATGGTGAGGCTTAAACTGAGACAAACCTCATTTTATAGTATTTTGAGACCTAAAACCGTAGTTATTTTTCGACTCGGGTTCCGGCCAAATTTTGAATTTTCACCGGAAACGCCCAAACTAAGCTTCTGTTAAAAAATTCTATGAAAATCAAATACATCGTCTCCCCCCAAAATATCTCAGGAAATGCCCAAACACAGCCCCTGTTAAAAGCGGAACTCAAAATTCCAATTTTAAAAGGTCCTCCACGGGAGTTACATTTTGGCACACCCTAATAT